TTATTTTGTTCAAATTCAAATAAAGGCAATTATGCACGAAGGCATCAAGGAGCATATTTAGAGTTTAATGAACTGTGGGATTTGCTAGTTGCTTTTCCCCAGTGTTTGTGGGGAAGAACGCAGCCAGGTTCATTCAGATCACCCCAGCAAGAAATGTACAGCTCTCTAAAAACTAAATGTAAAAGCCTCTCCTATATTTCCCCAATATGTGTTAATATTACAAGGTCTCCTTGGTTTCCATCAGCCTTTGTCAGCACAAAAAATGTAAGTGTAACTTTATTTTTTTGGAGAAAGTTCCGGGAGTCGAGGGATTACACTGGAATTGGCAGAATTATCCCTTTCTGTCAAAGAAAAGTTCACATTTGCTGTCAGCAGCAGCGCAGCGGGCAGCACTCGGGTCTTGTTTTGGCACCGTGAAGCGTGTGATTCATCCCGAGGGAGGAAAAAAAGAAGCCAGGCGGTCAGACAGACAGAGGAGGAAGCTCGATCAGGGTCAGAATGACTTCTCTGTCTGGCTGCCCTCCACTTCTCTGGAGGGTGTTCTCTTCCAGTCTGTTTGTGAGTCAGTTTCCTTCTCTGACAGTCAGGGTGTGCGGCACAACAATTAGAGGCAGGTGAAGTGTGATAGATTCAGGAGGGAAGCTGAAGCATCAGCCCGGAGCTGCAGACTGGCAAGGTGGGATATTGGGAAAGATGGGATGGAGGCGGTGATTTAGGGATTCAGCGCAGGAGTCTGCAGGGGTCAGGGAGTGACGGGTTCAAAGAGTGACTGACAGCATGATAGATAAAAAGGACCTGAATAAGTGAGCGAGCCTTGTAGACTCTCTGTGAGTACTAATGATTGACTGGCTGTTTCACAGGTGGCAGCACACTCGGACCCGGAGCTGCACGGGTCTCGCCTCCAAGTGCGCCTGAGCTTGAACGTTGTTGACCAGTTGCTCCTGAGTCATACAGTATACACAACATCATCTCTGTTGTCCAACAGCCGTCAGTCAACTGCGATAAACACACACACACACACAAACACACATGGGCTCAGCCAGGCATCGCCTGCAGCCACACTCTCCCTTCCACCACTGCCTCCCTCATTCATCTTTCATTAGCCGAGCTCACACAGGAGAACCAGCCTTCCCCCACACCTCCTCCCCCTCCTCCATATCCTCACGTCTCCCCAGCTCTCTTTCTTCTTCCTCTATCTAACCTTCTTGCTCTCTCTCTCCCTCTCTCTCTCTCTTTTTCCTCTCCCCTTTCTCTATCTGTCTCTCTCTCTCTCTCCCTCCCTGTCTCTCTCTCACTGCCTCGTCTTATCTTGGTTTCTCTCGCACGTAATCTCTTTTGTTTGTCTCGCTCATGTCTCGCAATCTGTCTTTTAGGATATCTGCCCCCCTCCTTCCCCGCCTCCCTTCCTCACTCTTCTGCCTCCTCTGCTTTTTAGTCTTTTCCATTCAGCCAGCCCTCACCACTCCTCCCTCCTCCCTCCTCCCCCGCCTTGTTGCCCTCCATCGCTCTCGGCCCTCGTTCCCCTTCACAGCCTCACTCTTGCACATTCTCACCTCTTTATCGTGTGCTCCCTTTCCCTCTTCCACTCAGCTTCCTGTGCAGTGCCGTTTCTCTTGACACAGCCCTCCCCTTCCCCTCCCTCCCCTGCCCTNCTTTCTTCCTTTCATTTCTCTCTCCGTCTCTCCCTCGGTGGAGGGGAAAAGGCTCTTCGCCTCTAATTGCGGCTGTTCCGTTGCCATGGCGCGTGTTGCTCAGCGCTGTGAGGTGCTGTGTATTTGTGTGTGTGTGTGTGTGCCTGTTCGTGTACGTGGGAGTGTGTGTATGACGGTGTGTGTGTATGTGTGGCAGGCAGATGATTGCTCGCTGCCAGCTCTCGTTTCCCGGACGCCGATCGCGTTTCTTTGCAGCAGCAGGGGGAAAAAAATGAGACGCCAGAAATAGCCCCCCTTCACACAGACTCGCTCCCTCTCTCCGCTGTGCTGTCAGAGAAACACACACATAGACACGCTGACACACACACACGGAGCAATTCCTCTCCACCTGACATTCTCAGTGCATATATGACCCAGGTTACTCTGCATGTACACAGCACTTTGCACGCGTACAGAGGAGCTGCGGGTTTTAATGCACATCTGCGTCCACACACCTTCCTCCGTGAGCTCCTATGTGTGTATCCTGCGTCTCTAAGGAGGTTGTGTGGGGAGTCCTGATTTATTTCACCTTTAATGGGAAGTGAAATGAATGTGAGCAGCAGCTGGTCTGGTCCTTGGAGATACAGCAGTCGGCTAACCCAGAAAAACATGCAGCGCCACTCTAAAGGGTTCTTAGTCCAGAAACCGCCAGGACACTCCAGGAGCTTGGTTTTATTTTAAGCAGCATTTAAGCATCACGGTTTACTTATAACAGGTCGCTCCCTCAACCTTTGATCAGCCCCGCCTGTGGGTTTTCTTGTCCCTGTTAAAACTTTCCTTTGAGTTGTCTGAATGAAAATGGAGGCAGATTAACGGCAAATAAATCTCACACGTCGATGTTGCAAAAGAAGATTAAGAGAATTAGAAGCAGATTTGAAGATGAAGCCCCATAATTATCCGCTGCTCTGTTCACCTGCTGTTTTAACTGGGGTTTTAAGGGAGGAGAGAAAAAGGTTTCGATCTTATATTTTAATAAAACTTAACTGCCTCTCACCTGTAATTTAGAGGTGCAGCAATTTTGACATCCACTGCGCCATGTAAACAAAGCAGAACTCGGGGCAGTCAGCAGGTTCTTTTTCCTTTGTGAGCGCTCAGTGTTGTCGGATGAAGTCGAGCCATCATCATCATCATCACCGTCGTCCCTCATCACAGCTTTAATGATGTAATCAACTGTGAGCACCCAGTAGTCTAATTTGTCTGATGGAGAACACTGCTTCACTGAAGAAATTACAATTGGACATATGGTGCAGATGAAGAGTTGTTGGTAGTTAATGTGATATGTCAGTATGATTTTGACATCGTACGGGCTGAGACACAGCTAAGATGTATTTTGAACAGTATGGGAAATGAATCGGGTAACTATCTGAAACATTGTCCTATAATCAGCTAACAGCTTACTAAGGAATACATTTACATACAGACAAAAAAAACAAGTTGAATGGACAGTTGTTTGCTACAGATACTCTATAAACTAAAATGTGCTGGTGTAAAACGCCAGGTGTAAAATCTATCCATAAAATCTTTTATCTATACAGCATATCCTTTGAGGGTTGGGGAGGTTGGAGCCAATCTTTGCTGGCAGCAAACAACAGGACCTGGACCTGGTTAAATGCCAGGGCATTAAGCAGAGACAAATTCTTTAATTAACAATTCTTCATTTTCCAAAATGACCCTAAATGGCATATTTTAACACCAGGGGCTGCATCATTGTCCCAAAGTCCAAATGCTGTTTAAACCCGTAGGGAAAAACCTTGTTTGAGGAACTGTGGAGTAAATACTTCAGCTCCAGCTTAGATCTGACTTTTACTCTTCAGTAAACTAAAGAAAGTGGCAGTGTTATTTTGTTTTTACCCAAACCAGTCAAAGTAATTGTTGTTTTCAGAGTGAATAATGCCTCTGTGCCTGCTTAAGTGATTTGTCGTGTTTACTTATTTTGACAGACTGTAGTGAATTATTACATTCAGCTGACAGGTGGACTTTTTCAGCACATACACAGTGACCACGTGATGTAATCTTCAAATGTGTTTCCAGTGATAGGTGCAGGTAATGTAACATTTACCATCTTTGTCTTCTAGATGGGACTGAAGTTTTCACATCTGACTTCATGTGTTTTAATAAGACAATGTAACATACACAACTTTTAAAACCCATATGTTTATGTCAACAACAACTTTTAAAACCCATATGTTTATGTATATTTTTATTATATTTTAAATTCAAATGTTCTATTTTAAACTTCATTACTCCCATGTAGTGCCCCTTTGGACCCCTTGTTAAAGGCCATTTTGTATTTGTTTTGTGTTTTCTTTCCTTGCAGGTCATGAGTAGGTTGAGGATGAGTTTCTCAGCCCAGAGGTCAATCACTGTGGCCAGTTAGTTTACTCTGACCGCCCAGCCCAAGAACACACCGCACATGCGGAAAACGCTGTAAGCTCTGCGCGGTTTGATTGTCACGCTAACGGATCAATAAAAGACATTAGCGGCGAGCTAACCCAGCGAGCAGCACTAATACAGGGTTAATCCAGGGTTAATGGCTGAGCAGCATCATTCGCAGAGGCAGCCATTAGTTTGCAGCGGCACCGCACAGTATCAGGTTCAGCTCCTAGTCATGCCCTGGGCTCCCGGTGAGGTAGGCACAGACATGGAAAGAAGTTGAAAAGAACAGAGGATCATTCCCACGAGTCAAGATGAAAAAGAGATATCCAGAAAGATGAAACCTGATGCAAAAGAGTGGCAGCGATATCAGAGAATGGGAGGCAGTGTTCAGAAAACGTGCATGGAATGAGAAGGGAGGAGAAGATGGGTTGAAGCAACTGTGGTGAAGAGATGCAGGAAACTGAGATGAGAGAGAGGGGAGAGAAGGAGAGGAAGGGAGTTCAGCGCTGCACTTCTCCCTGTCCTTGTAAAGTGCTGCGTGCTGTCGAAGCGGCAGCCAAGAATGTGTCAGCCCAGCCGTCTCACGCTGCCTAATGGGCTCTTAAACGCTGATATAAAGCTCAGTCGCTCTTTCACCCTCCCCTTTTCCCCTCTCTCTCTCTCTGTTCTGCCTCTGCTGCTTGCTCTCATTACCTCTGGTTCTCACCCTGTCTCTCATTCTGTCACTCACTTGTCCTCTCCTTCTCTTTCTCTTTTTCAGTCTATCAAACACTCTCCTTTTTTTTTCTGTGGGCATCCTTTCTCTTCTTCTGACTTCTCCAATTACATATCCACACCTCTGTAGATCTATTACAGGTTCTCTCTTTATTTTCAACTTTTTTTATAGATAAACTTAACACCTTTCCCTCTCTTGCTTTCTTTCTCTCCCTCTAGGCTCCATAATGCTGTCTACCCACAGGAACCATCCTTCCCTCTCACCCTGTTGCACGTTCTGTCAGCACCGCTTCATGGCTTGGCCAATGCATTTGTCTTTGGCCTGGACAGGGATTGGTGGAGCCTCCTCAGCCCAACTGGCATGCAGGTAGAGTAAAGTTCCATTTTTGATCTATGATTCTGCTCCTTCTCTATAAATAGTAAAATATATGCTGTGCAAGAAGAGAACACAAAAATCTACTTTTTGGGCAGTTGACTACAACACAAACATCTGGACTTGTGGTTCAAATTCTAGAGTTAAGGCTCCAGCAACTTTATCTTTCATGTAGATCCCGTCAGTGAAGCTTGTTTGACGTTGGATGTTTTATTAGCAAGTACACTGAACAGCACAGACGTATGACAAAAAGCTTTAGCCTTGTGGTACATTTTGGGATGAGGTAATATACAGCAAATGAAATTAAAATTCTGTTGTTGCTGGCTGACAGTTGATGCTGTTGATGCTCTGTGCCTGTACACTCTTCTGTTACAGTTCTATACAGTGCACATACTGCACCCTAACATTGACATAAAGGCAATTGGGGGAACATGATATTCAAGATGACTGGGGGGCAGTTGATGACCAAAGAGTAAATACTGCCGCCCCTACAGTTTCACCTAAATCTAAGGGTTAAAATAGAATAAGAATTTACAGATTACTCTAGTCTTTAGAAAATAAAACCTGGTACAAATGAGATCGAATGCATTAATTCTGTTATGTATGCATTCATTAATTTGGCATTTGAACAAAATTAAAACGTGCAAGAAAACATGGTGATTCTTTGCTAACATGTTAACATATGATTTACCTGCAATTATCAACTTTAGCCATTTGCAACAACAGAGGTGTTGTGGAGGAACCTGAGGCAGCCTCTCAGCCTCTCAGCCTCTCAGCCTCTCAGCCAGCCAGACTGTCTGTCTGAGAAGTGACACTGGATAAATGAGGCTGCGTCTGTGTTGGAAAGCACTGAGAACTCAAACAGCCGTTAAACTTGGCTGATGCTGTGCACAGAGGAACACAGCATTGGTCCGAATGTTTTTGTTGTTATTTTGCAAAGCCCCTCCCCCTGCTCCCTCTTTCACTTGTAGTAGCAATATAAAAAGTATAAATGAAGTTGATGGCAACACACCTGACTGGAGTGTCGTGACACTTGTCCATGTCATGTTAATTATTCAATTATAGGGAGATGTACAATATTTATACACTATGGCCAAAGCAGGCTGACGATTGACGCTAACATTAGCACAGGACAGGAGCTGAATGAGTTTACAGTTGTGCTACTTGAGACATTTAAGACAGAGAACGCGGCGCCGCAAGCTCTGCACCGAGAATCATCAACACATCGGCTGTGCAGCTTTTGAAAGACGGCAAATAGATGTCAGTTAATTGCAGCGTGTGTGACTAAACGTTTCTGCATGCTGCAGATATTTCCTGGCTTCGTCATTGTCTGCGCACGTCTTACAAACGGCCTCGGTGTCTTCTTTGTGAAATGACGCCATGTTGTAAACACTTTTTACCAAAGTAGGGAGCGCGTGTGTGAGGTCATTGGTTAGCAGAATTGTTAAGCAAACAGACTAATGATTACAGGGTTTTGGATGATTGGGAGCCAGTTACTTAACAGCACATGGTTCAGGATTCTCATCCCTGTGTGCCTCTGCCCTTCGTCAGGGTCACTAATACTGTAAACGGCCACAGTAGTCGATGCTTGTCCTAACATTCTTTGGTTGAAGGACTTTTTTCTTCCATTTTCCTTCCTTTTCTATATTTGTAGAACAATTTCACAGTACTTTTATGATTTAGACTTTCAGCAGAGCAGCATGTCCTTCACTATAATTAATGGAAATGCCAGAGTCAGGAAGCTGACTAATAGGAGCTGATTAAAAAAACCCAGTCTTATAGTTAGCAGGGAGTGAGGGTATCGCTGTGATGAAACATTGTTTTTAAGAGCCACCAATCTTGGTGCTTTTGGCAAAACTTTTCTTGAGTTGTTGAATGAATATCCTCGTGAGATAATATTTGGAAGAAGAGAGACATTATTGGAGAGTCACATCACAAATTGCAGCCAACCCCGCATGATTTGTTTAATTAGTATTCCACCAAACCACAACACATGTCAGAAAGTTTTCCCAAATGGAAGCCAGATCACTTTAGTGTATTTCATCATTTTAAAAAGCAGTTGAAGTTGGAAAATGAATGAAATCTTCTCAATATTTTTGCATTTTTTGATTTTTAAGTTTTATTCCCCCGTTTTTTTAGTTTTTCTATCAACAGGCACAGATTCATATTTTTGTCAGACTGACAAGAATGCCTGGTATCTGGTATTATTATGCCTTACTCCAGTGTTATACGTCAAATTTCTAGGCTGCACTCATGGACATCAGGCTACCTTCAGGTGTGTTGCATCATCACTGTATGTCCTTTTACGTTCTATTATGACAGACAGGCAAAGACCGCGCCTGATATTTGTTCCCTTTCTCGCAGCTTTCTCTGAGCTTTCAGGGAAATGAAGTGATAGCGAGATTACCAACAGGAGGATGTTTTTACATTTGAACCACAAACCACATTGGTTGCATTTCAATAAACACCACAATCAATACAGTTCCCAGCAGATTTGTCTCCATCTACAAACATTGACAGTATCTGTGGATATGAGCTGGACCTGATATCGAACCACAAAAAGAAAACACTCTCTGTGGTCTCTGTTGTATGTGCGCGCATGCACACCCACATTGTCACTTACGTGGTATCACCAGCCTCGCTGATAATGGGTCAGGCACGCAATGTGGAAGAGTGGAATGTGTGGTATGACCTTCAACCCAAATGTCAATGTTGCACTGTGCTGAGGCGGGAGACAGAGGGAGAGGAGTCAAATGGAATCTCAATGTGTTCGTAAATCACACAGAAAACGCTGTTTGTGTGTGTGTGCGTGTGTGTGTGTTAGAGTGGGAGAGTGAGACAGAGGGTGAGAAAGAAGAAGACAGCGAGAAAGACACGCGCACACACGAGCCGCATGTGTGGTCGTGGTCTATCGTGACTAACAGCTGGTTGTTATTCATCTTGGCATGTGACTCCCAGCAGCCCCCACACATCAGGTGTGAGATTGGCTACGGATAGGAAGGGGGGGGGGGTTAAAGGAGAGACGGAGGTTGTACTGGTAAGGTGGGGAAGTGGGAGGTGGGGGGGGGGGTAACATTCATCTATCAACACAACAGATCTGTGCTTTCCTACCCCATAAGCTCCGGACCTGCTTCCTCTGTTCACCCGCTGCTCCTCCATTTACCCCAGCCACTGTAAAGATGTTTGTTTCTAGTTCATTTTCTCTACTTACTGACATTATGTCCACATTGAATTGGAATCCAATGAGAACTCCATGGACTATATGTTGTTAAAGTTGAGGTTCCATGTAAATTTCCTCATCGTCCGTTCCCACTGCCTGAGCCTGGCAGTGTTGTATTGAGTGTCGTGGTGTATCATTAAGAGATGATGCCACTTTCCAAGAGACAGAAATCGAAGCCAAAGGAGGTGGAGTTGATGACGCTGAGATTTTAATTGGATCAAACAGGACAGGGTCATGATTGAGCGTGGGGTAAAGGTTAGTGTGGCATGTAATAGTTCTTCTCCAGTTAGGATTGATATAATTGAAAGGAAAAAAAGGTGAAACCCCTTTTTTTAACTGTTGTTTTGAGGCCCACAGCTCAGCCAACAATCTATGCTTGGGTGTTTCCATCGAGGTTGAAAGTGTGACTGAAATGAAGACCAGGATTACCAGGAACTTTTTCAAAATTTTTCAGTAATTTTATTCACTGCTTTTCTCTCTCCTTGTTGTTGACATATTTTACTTTCATGAATCCATTCAACAAGTGTGCGTGTGCCTGTTATTCACCTGCTGAATATCCATGTTTGTCGCTCTGTGGTTTGCTTGCTTATAGTCACTTGAACTCACACGCACACACACACTGCTGAAGCAGCTGATAGGCGTAACCACACAGGCTCCACACGGCGAGAGGAAAGGGTGTAACGTTTGCAGACAGAAAGGCTCATTTGTTTAAATTAAATTGTAATCAAAGCCCTTTGTGTGGTTATGTAGTTGCATGAGCCCACACTGTGATTGGGATTGGGTTAATTGTCTTTAATTGTCTCAGTGACACGCTGTTGTTTTAAAAATCAGACCTAGCATCGTTCGGGAAGTGGAGCTGGACCTGGCTAAGACTTCATGTCACAGACAGAAAAGGAATGTCACACACAGTCACAGCCACACACAGTCTCAAATCATCCTATTTTCTTGTTGACTGCGTTGTTTTCTGTTCTTTTTACGAATCCAGGATTAGGTTTCATATGAAGCTGTTGATCGTAGCAGTTCAGCTCCTACAGCCGTCCATGGGTCAACCACCACATGATCAAAATAATAACACTTATGTTTCAGCGTGAAAATAATAATCATACTGAAATAGAAAATATAGATCATTGTGTTTTTATAATATTTCACATACCATACCAACCAACAAAAAAAAACATACCATTTTTCAAAAGATACAAAAAAAAACCTATTAACAGCTGTCCCAAAGGTTCCTCACTCTTATTGGAGTCAACATTGTTCTACGTTTCACTGTGAATAAATCCAAGGCCATCGTTACTTGTGCAGAAATGCATAGCATCTCTCAGCAGTCAGCGCACATACGATGTAAAATCCAAGGCCTTGGGCTGTAAAATCTTAAAGACATTTACATTTTAAAGCAGCTTTACACTTGTGAAAACAGACTTGCAGTTAGTACAATCCTCTTGGACAGAGGAATCCTCCACTCGTGCCAAAGGAGGTTCCATTTTGACTAACATGGAGAAAATGATGAGGCCAAATAAATGAAGTTAAGGAGGAAAATATCCGTTCACTCTGATCATCAGGCCTCTGTGCCTGTAAAGCCTCAAAGTTAAGGATAGATTTCCTTGATTCCAGCACTGCAGCGGAGAGGATATTGACTGTCGGAGGGAGCAGTTATAACAGTCAGCCTTCATACTGGAAACTCTGGAGATCAGCAGGTCCTCATACTGACACTGCTGTGCTGTAATGTGGCTGCACAGCCTGATACTAGTATCAGCATCAGGCCCGTTCCTTTAGTCAAATACTCACACTCGTACTCGTACCATTTTACTTGAAAACTTGTGCCGACCCAGCAACCTGATACTTGATGCCCGTATGTTTGACATTACAATGTCAGCAATTATTTTAACATTTTAATCCTTTTGTTTCTCTTTGGAATGAAATGAATATAAAACCGTCTCGAGTTTTTTTCCTGCTTGCTGTCTTCACTGTGGTTTGAGCTGAGCTCACACCTACACACTGCATGTCACCACATTTCCCACATAGCTGTGACACCTATTTAACAGGCTTCCAGTTCAGTGCATATTGATTGAAACCCATCCTAAAGACAGTACACAAACATAAATACTTGTTCTGGTATTGGTTTGTAATTGTTTCTCAGTGAGACTTTTACTGTCGCTTTTTGTGTTTTTGTACTGTCCAGCAAATGAGTTAGGGAGCCCTTTTGGTTGGTTTTGCTTAAGATGCTTAAAGTTTGACTCCTGTTCTCGATGCCCCAGCAGGAGCAAACCTAAGCTATGTGTCCTGCTGTGATTACAGACCTACTGTGTGGACTCCAGTGGTTTTAAAATCACCAAAAATGGTTCGTAGTAAACACGCTGCTGTCTCTCCCTTGGCTTTATTTCATCCATTGTTGCTTTTCTCCTCCCTCTTCCACGTCTGTCTCTGAGTCGTCTTGTCCTCCTTTTCTCTCCATCTCCATCTCTGGCTGCCGTATACACGTGTCTCCTCCTTTGCCTCCTCTTATTCCCTTTACCCCGCTACAGCGTTTCTGGCATTTATCTCATTATTCCTGCCGCTCTCTTTTGTGCAGCGTTTCCCTCCCACCTGTGCGCTCCCCACCCCGCCCCCCATTTCTCACTCCAACCTTCCCTGATATCGATCTGCATTCAAGCCCATGCAGCTGAAGCGCCTGTGGGTCTGCAATGAGCTCTCCCTCCACTTCTTCTTCTGCTTGGTCGTCTTCTCCTTCACTCATGCAGGAAAATCTACACCTGGTTGTGAAGTGCTTGTCGCTTCAATCTAAACTCGATTTTTTTTTAACTTACAGCCAAGTACATGACCATTACAGAGACCCCTCACTGGTGGTTTTGATTGGTGGACACGGAACAAACTGCACGCTGGGTTTTCCAGAACAGAAACATCCAGCCGTCTTTCTCCTTGCCAACCCCTCCTCCCCCATTTTACACCAACATCAATCTGCCTCTGTCGGCTCAGTGCCGGAACAAAAATGTCCTGCATTCCATTTCCATACCTTTTATGCAGAACAGAGAGCCAGAAGGAAAGAACTCAAATCCAACCAGGATCAGGCTTTTTTTTTTTTTTTCAAAGCATACTTTTTTTTGCAGTTTAGTCATCAAAGCCTTTTTAAATCAGTCAAAATCATTACTTAATTGTTCTCATTTACATTTCTTTCTATTGTCAGACAACTT